GCTTAAGAGAGGAGTTCAACAAGAAAATAGAAAGCTTAATCACCCTAATCGAGCATGAAGACCTCAAGAAGACACTCCTCACCAAAGAGATCATTCAAGAGACTATTTTCACTCCAGAAGACAATGTAGGCATAACAAAGACTCAATTCTTTGAAGATGATCAAGATCACGTCAATATGGAGCTGGAAATACAACAAGAAAGCAAGAACAAAAAAGAATGGATCAAGAACCAAATTAAAATGTTTCTGCCGGTTCTACAAGGAAACAATGAATCAAATATTTTCATCATTTCAAAGAGCCTTTGAGGAGAAGAAAACATGCATTCAAACAATCAAAGTGAGCATTTGAATTCGAATTTCTAATGAGTTTCCTTTTTCTGTTTTGCAGGAATTTTCCCTTTTCATTTTTAAGAACTTTTCTGAAATAGTTTAAGTAGTTATTTCTTCTAATTCGTTGCGTTTTGTACTTTTCTTTTCTGAAATAATAAGCCCTAAAAGGCAGAGCTGACGAACCATTTATAAGGTTCATTTGCAGCTTGTATTATTTTTTCACCTTTGATATTAATAAAGAACGAACTTTCTTCTCTTGAAGAACCCTAGCCGCTCTCTTCTTCTTGTGTGTGAATCCTTGAAGAACTAGCTGCATCTCGACTTATCACAGATCAAACCAACAATCTGTGTGGCGTCCATCACTCCATCTTCGCGTTTCATTCACTTGAATACTCTAAAGAGATCCGTACGGGCAGGTAGAACATTCTCCATCTCATTCATTCACAAATCATCACTATTATTGTTCTAGAGAGTTTAGAACGAACAGCTAGATCAATACCACCTTATCATCACTTGTAGATCAATATCCTTGATCCTACATCATTTGGTATAAGAGCCTAAGGCTCCTAAATCCAGGTTCTATCGTTTCTGATTTATTTTGATTACTGTTTGCTTCTGGTTACTTGATTTGTGTTGTTAACTTGCTATTGCATTCGTAAAACCTAAAAGAAAAAGAAAAATCGTTTTGGTA